GCTACAATCAAGAAGAAGGTATTGATTACAAGGAAACATGCTCCAATAGCTAGATTGGAAGCCATACAGTACTCTTATCCTTTCCTTGTATAAAAGATTTTAAACTGTATCAAATAGATGTTAAAAGTGGCTTTTTTGAATAGTTATATTATGGTAGAAGTTTTCATTGAACAGCCTCCTGAATTTGAAGATCCAAATCTTTTGAATCATGTTTATAAATTGAAAAGGGCTTTATATGGTTTGAAACAGGTATCTAGAATTTTGTATGAACATCTTAGCAATTTTCCAATAGAAAAATATTTTGAAAGAGGCAAAGTTGATGCAACACTCTTTATCAAAAGAAATAAGAAAGAACTTTTAATCTTTCAAATTTATGTAAATGATATTATATTTAGTGCTACTAACGAAGATCTTTACGAAGAGTTTACAAAGTTGATGCAGGGCGAGTTTGAGATGCTAATGATGGGAGAATTGAACTTCTTCCTAGGATTACAGATCAAAGAAAAGAAGAATGGGATAGTTATATCCCAAACAAAGTATTTAAAAGAACTTCTAAAGAAATATGGTTTGGAACAGGCAAAGAGTGCAAATATACCAATGAACTCGACCATATCCTTAAACACGGACGAGAAGCGCAAGGACATGAATTTAACTAAGTATAGAGGAATGATTGATTTACTACTCTACCTCACAGCAAGCAAACTACATATTCAATTCAGTGTAGGGACATGTGCCAGATATCAATTAGCTCCCAAAGAGTCACATGAAGAAGCCATTAAGAGAATCCCCATATCTTATCAAAACATCTAATATGGGGATATGGTGTCTAAAGAAAGGAGCAAAATATCTCATAGGATACTCAGATACTGACCATGGAGGTTACAAAATAAACAGAAAAAGCACTAGTGGACAGTGTCAATTCCTCGGAGGTTGTCTGGTTTTATGGTCAAGCAAGAAACAAAACACGATGGCCATTTCTTCTATAGAATCAGAATATGTTGCCACTGCAAGTTGTTGTGCGCAGATTCTACAATTAAAATAGCAATTACAAGATTTGGGAATTAAGTTGAAGGAGATCCCAATTCTGTGACAACATGAGCATAATCAATTTGTCAAAGAATCCAGTCCATCATGACCAAACCAAACACATTGATGTTTAACATCACTTCATTCTGGATCATGTTAAAAAAAGAGGACATAAAAGTAGAATTCATTCTACCAAATATCAAATCGCAAACATCTTCACAAAGCCTCTCAACCAACAAAAGTTCAATTACTTCACAAGAGAATTGGGAATCGTAAATCCCAATGAGTTGTAAGAGATTCTATATTATTTCTTTATTTTGCATATTTGGATTTAATGTTTTGATGATTGGAAAGCCAACTTAAGCATAAAAGTATAAAAAAATTTGTTTTATAAGAAACTCTATTTTAACATTAAAAAACAGAGATAAACAGAGGAGAAGATGTTCAATGAGGAAATTGACAATTAAGCTTCAAGATTACTATAATTTATCAATCATCTGATTGATAACAACAATTATGGATCAAATTATCGATCAACTAAAGCATATGGAATCACATAGAGGAGGACAAGAAGCAAATCATCGATAACATGTTCGATAATCCAATTATCAAACATATGACCGATCATCAAAGAATGGATTTCACCTTCAACCGGACAAGCAACCAAATTGCTTAATCGATCACGTGATCGATCAACATAGGCAAGTATGACTCTTGCCAGTACAAATTATCAATAACATGTTTGATCATTGCTTGTTCGATAATTGTTCATTATGTTCATATGTTCTTCAAAATTATTGATCAGTTGATCAATCATGACTTGATCGATCATTCTCAGAATTTTAAGTTCAAAATTTGAAATTCTCTCATCAGTTACAGAACCCTAACTCGATAACCACTGTCCCTATTTCTCAATAACGGTCAAAATCCTTCCTATTCCTTTAAATTTCTTCCAAAACTCCTTCCAAAATCACTCTTCTAACACTTTAGATCACTCTAAATCCCTCCTTGCTCAAAAATCACCGAACATTTCTCTGCAAATCTATTCTACACCAAAAATGGCAAGAGTGAAGAGTGAAACAAGCCAGTGCTAGCCAAGAAGATAGCTCCGTAAAGCAAGTGCAATCCAAAGAAACTACATCATCGAGTGCCAAGAAGAAGTTCAGACCAAAAGTTAGGCAAGAAACACCAAAAAGGAGTGGCACACTAAAGATTAGAGCAAGCCAAATACTGAGCTCTTCACAACAAACTTCTTGGAAGAGAACAACTCATTTAAAATCAAAGTTGCCCGTAGTTTTTGAAGGGTCAGAAACTGAGTCTGGTGAAGAAGTATCAGTTCAAAAAGCTATGGACGCAGCCCTAAATATTTCAATTCCCAAGCAACCGAGGCACAAGAAGCAGAGAGTTAGCGAAGGAACATCTCGACAGGCTCCTGCACAAGGTATTCATTCTCAATCTACTATTGAGTTCTTAACTGGAAGGATGTGATATGGGCAAATACAAAACGGATTTTGCAACTAGAAAATTCTGCCCAGTAGTATCTGTTGATCTGAATAGCCTGAAAACCAGTAAGAAAACCTAGTTGGATCTGTCTGACCCAATGGAATACTATTTGAATTGGCTAAGCATTAGAGAGGAGTATTGTCCTAAGGTAGTTAGAAGATTCTACTGCAACATGGAATCCATAGAAGAATACAATAAGGAGGATAATTTGGTGAAAAACTATCTGACCACCAAACTTAGAGGCAAAACTATCACTCTGACCATAGCCAAGATAAACGAGTTCCTTGGAACTTAAGAACATGTCAAAGGACCTGACATGAATGCTGTGAAGGCATACAAAGTTCTGATATAGAGTAATGCTTATCCTGAAGAATTAAGCTTCCCTCCAAAGTAAATGTGTGATTATTATCGAATAATCCACTATATATACTCTAAGAGCATAGTAAACAAGTTTGGGAGCCTCTCTCATCTGAATCAAGATGATTACATCCTACTGGCAAAGATTATAAGTGGAGAGAAGATAAATATTAGAGCCCTGATTTATAATGAGATGAAGAACTTCACACTCTTCAAATCTAAGTCTACCCCTATCCCTTATCCCCAGCTGGCCTCATACTTCCTCTAGGCGCATAACATTGCACATTTAGAACCTGGGTAAGTTAAAGAACAAATTCCCATCTTTAGAATCAATTAGTTGAATAAGATACAAATTCCAATGCCCTTTCATCCATCACAGAAGAGGACTGAAAAAGGGAATGAGAAACAGCTAGTGCCAGTGTTTCAACAAGCCAAGATGAAGCCCAATCCTCTGCAGAACCCTCTCAGTCATCTGGACCTTCCTTTTATGGGAATACCATCCAAGGGTTGCTTCACACAGAGCTTAAAGAGTTTGAGAAGAGATTATATGCCACTGCTAAGAAGTATGAAGAGATTTCTGACAAGAAATTTGAAGGATTGTACATTGTTTTGGATCTCCATCGACAGGCTATAGCAGTGTTAGAAAAGGATTGTACATATTTGATGTTGTGGACAAGGAGCTTCAAGACTTAAAGAAGATGGTTACCTCACTCTCTGCCAACTTTTCTGCATTGAGCACATCTTTCAGTTATGAGGACCTCTTGACTCATCCAAGCTCACTCTCATTCCCTAAACCAGTAACCACCTTAGAACCCATGCCAGTCACCACAGTACCTTCCTCTACCTTACTTGCCAGAACTACTCTCACCTATCTCTCAAGCTCTCAGTCCAGTTTCTCAGTTATCACCCCTTATTTCCTTTTACCTTACCATCATTTTCAATTTCTCCCACCTCTTCCTCTGACGCTAACAAAAAGGGAGAGAAGAGTGAAACTTTAGATTTAGATTAATTTTTTTTTGTCTTTACTTTATGCCTTTTTAAATTGTATCTTGATAGTTTATGTTGATGTATACTGACGGTTTATCAGTTTCTTTATGCTTACTGTTTATCAGTCTTTACATTATGCATACTATTAGCTTATCAGCTTTTGAACTTACTAGTTATTCCGCAATTTATTTGCTTAGATTCTTGTGTTTTGTCATCATCAAAAAAAATGGGGAGAATATTAGATTTATGATTTTGATGATAACAAAGTAAACAAAGTAAGCAATTAAGTTTCTCTACATAATCAGAACTTTAGGTTAAGTGTTCGATCAATAGTTAATCGAATATATGTTGGATCATTAATTGCATTTCTAAGTTTATATACTGTTAAATTTTATCGATCACTTGTTAGATAATTCATTGTGTAAGATCACCTAATAGATAAATAGGATTGTTCGATCACTAGTTAAACTGTTTTAATATAAACTGTTTTAATATAAGTGCTTTCAGGAAATATTGATCACCTTATCAATAATTCAAATGATCGAACAACTATCAAGTAAAGAAGACAATCCTTCTCATGTTTAACAAAAGTTTATTCGATCATCATATCGATTAAACAGTTATCAAACACTTGATAGATAATGGGTAAATCTCTAAAACATACATACTATTTGGAATGCTTCATGGTTTATCGATCACTTTATTGATCATTGGTTATCAATGACTTGTTCTAACATTGTTTTACAAACTTCTCTTGTTAATCGATAATTTGTTCAATCAAGTCCTCTCTAACTTGTCTTATTTCTAGCTTTTCACTAACAATGATCGATCAAGTAATTGATCATTCGTTCATCGATCATTTAATCGATCATCAACATATATTGTTGTGACACATAGGTCTATTTAACGGTGTTAAGTTTAAAACCTAAGTCCTTCTAAAACTATAAGGACTAACATTTTAAATAGAGTAAACTTGAAAAACTAAAATTAAAGGTTTTTTAAACTCCAAAAACCAAAAACTAAATGAAATATTAATCCTAAAAATAAATATAGTTGGATAACAATTGAAACAAATATTTTAATCTAAAATTCAAAATAGAGTTTTCATTTTTTTTTCCTCGGCCAGAAAATTCAAAATCATGTACACCACGAACCCAAGAGAGCAAGAAGATCATTGGTGAAGAGGAGGGTTATCCAGACCGACAAGAACCAAGAAGCTTGGAAATGGCGACCCTTACATCACTATCTCTATCTCTCCCATTCCCAAAACCCTCTCCACACTTTCCTTCTTCTCCTTCGCTCAAAACCCTCCTCCCTCACAGACCCAAATGCTCCCGCTCCTTCACCGTCCGAGCTACCGAATCGGAGCCATCTACCTCCGATTCATCAGACCAATGGAAATCCGAGTCCGAACCCGAATCATACGCACCGACTTCCGACGATGACTTCGACACTCGCATGAACGAATTCCGCCTCCGGTACCGGAGCGGAACGGGGAAGAAAGCGGAGATGCGAAAGGTGAAGAAATCAAAGAAAGGGACAGCGTCGGTGTCGGGATCGGGAGTGTACCTGCCGCCGGTGCCGTTGAAGGAGCCAGTGTCGGGCGGTTTAAAGGTCGACATGGGGTTCAGTCCGTACAGCGAGCGGCTCAACGGTCGGATCGCGAGTCTCGGCCTGACGGCGCTGTTGCTGGTGGAGCTAGCGACGGGGAAGGGCGTGATCAACTACCACACTCCGGCAATTGTGCTGATTCAGATATACTTCGTGGCGGCAGTTTCCGCTCTTTATGTGAAGTACGAGAAGGAGAAGATCAGTGTGTGGCCTCAATCTTCACGTAATGAATGATTTCTTTTTGTGTAATTGCATTATATAATCAATGCCTATAGAATTTCATGCCTTCTTGTGCTTTTTTCGCTGACCATTAAGTCACTAAGATTACAGATTCGTTTCTATTTGTTGGTAGTTACAGTTAATAATACTCCATATTATAGACATTTGAGGGAGAAGCAAAAGTGTACAGTTTTCGTCGTAGATAATGTTTAGGGGAAAATGACTAAATAAGCCTGAATATGTATATTTCTAATTCATGAACCTAAGGGTTGCAAATAATAGAAGGGGGAAGTAAACCTAAAGTAAAAATTTGAAATTTAAATAAAATGACAAAAAAGCTCCTTTCTTTTTTATTTTAAAAACTTGAACCCCTCACCGAAACCAGGGACAATTGCTGGTGGCCGGCCCTTGCAATCGGCCGGCGTGGTGGTTGCGGTAGCGTTCTTTGTTTCTGGTAGCAACTTTTTTTTTTTTTTTTTTTTACCATTTAAGAAAGTGATAGAAGTGGGATTTGATCCCACCACCCTATAGTTATTTGGATCAACAAAAACATAAATAACCATTGAGCCACCAATAATATCATAACATCTTAAGGCAAAACAAAATATAAGTTAACTCATTTACTTTGGTTCCATCTCGTAATAACAATTTATCTAAGAATGATAAGTTTTGATTTAGAAATAATAAATCTAAACTTGAAATTCATAAGGCATTTTTTTCTTAATACATAATATGAAATAACATATAAATTAATTAAAAATGATGATAATTTATCTGGAAATGACAAGTCTTGATTAAGAGATGACAATTCTAAATTGAAGATTTACAAGGTGTGTGTGTGTTTTTTTTTTAATACGCAACAAGAAATACCATGTGAATTAACTAAAAATGACAACAATTTATTAGGAAATGACAAGTTTTGATTGGGAAATAACAAGTCTAAACTTAATTAACAAGGCATGTGCTTTTTTCTTGATATATAACAGGAAATAACATATGAATTAATTAAAAATGATGCTATTAATTCCAAGTCTAGACTTGTTATTTCCAAATCAAGATTTGTCATTCCCAGATAAATTGTTGTCATTTTTAATGAATTCACATGTTATTTCACATTATGCATCAGGAAAAAATGGTTTGTTAATCTCAAGTTAAGACTTGACATTTTTCAATCAAGAGTTGTCATTCCTTGATAAATTGTTGTCATAAACTGGAATCAGAATAAATGAGTCAACCTATATTTTGTTTTGCCTTATAATGTTAAGATGTCATTGGTGGCCTAATGATAACCTACCTTTTGGTTCATCTAAATGACTATGACATGATGGGATCAAATCTCACCCCCATTATTTTCTTAAAATAATTTCCCATGGCAAAAAAAAAAATTGCTGCCAGAAAACATTAAAAAAAAAACCTACTACCAGCCACCACGCTAGCCGCGCTGGGACCGGTCATCGGCAGAGGCCTCCAGCTAGGGGTTTAAGTTTTTAAAATAAAAAGGTATTTTTGTCATTTCACTTATATTTCAAAATTCTAATTTAGGTTTACTTTGCTCTCTGGCATTTGCAACCCTTAAGTTCTTAAATTGAGGATATACATATTCAGGCTTCTTTAACTGTCATTTTTCCTAATATTTAAAACAATAAAAATTTCCATTGCTTAAATACTACTTAGTCTCAAATAATATGGTCCTAAAATTCAACCCGAATTAGTTTATCAGATCAGTAAATTGGCGGATCAATCTCCTAGTTGGACGAGTTGAGAGTTTTGAATGGGTGAATTGATTTTTTTTTTTTTTGAGTTAAAAAAAAAATAGAGGCATGTCTTGTATTTATGCTTCAAAAATTTTATTTTGTTAGATTATGTTTCATTTATTTATAGATTAATTTCATTTTCAGTTAAATTAATTTTTTAGAAGTTACGTATAAGCAATTTTTTACGTACTTAGGGTTAAGGTGCAATTTTAACAACAAAGTTTACCTTAAAGGGCACTGGACACCATAAAATTTATTTAGATGCAAAAATATACATGAAGTTATCAAAAGGAAACATCTGGCACCACGTCGTTAATGTCTGTTAATTTACAGTTAGCAGGGCCCACGAAGTTAGTTTTAAGGTGCATTTTTAACATCAAAGTTTACATCAAAGGGCATTAGGCACTATAAAGTTTACTTGGATGTAAAAATATATATGACCTTTCTAAAAGGAAAAACAAAAACAAAATTCTCCAACTCCCATAAGCATCCATTAATTTTATTTTATTGGGTCCCACTAAATATCAATTTTTCTCTCTACTCATTCCTACTTCCTCTTCTCCTTAGTATAATGGACAAATTTAAAAAAAAATATTAAAGAAGTAAAACAATTGCAAAAATATAGCATAAAGCACATGATCTATCAAAAAATTTATAGGCATTATTTAATTATGTATTAGTTTATAAGCCAAGCAAATTAATTTAGAGAAAAACGATAAATATAATACTTTAAAGTAATTTATTTAATTTTTTAATTTCCTCAAATTAGTCTATTGTGTCCTATATTAAGGACTAGAGGTAGTACCTTGGTACATGCAATGAACCTCATATCCTAAAAGGGAAAGGCTTTGTTTTGTGTTAATACATATAAAAGGCTTGGAGGCAGAGAAAACGACATGACAAAAAGAGTGTGCGTGTTAACTATGATAAGAGAAAGATGGATCGACTTAGAAGTGGAAATTGATGGGGAGAAAATATAACATTTGGTGAGATCCAAAAGAATAAAATTAATGGACGTTTATGGGAGTGAAAAAATTGTTATTTTTTTCCTCTTAGAAAGTTCATGTATATTTTTGCACCCAAGTAAACTTTATGTTACCTAATGCCCCTTCATATAAACTTTATTGTTAAAAATGCACATTAAAACTGATTTCGTGGGCCCCTTTGATGGTAAATTAACGGACGTTAACGGCCTGGTGCTAAATGCCCCCTTTTGACAACTTTATATATATTTTTGCAACCAAATAAACATTATAGTGCCCAATGTCCCTTAGAGTAAACTTTGTTGTTAAAATTGCACTTTAACCCAATTTTTAATTATGATTGGATTGATCATTGATCTCATCCCATCCAACTATCATTAAGCCATTAACCTTTAAACACATTGACCATACATGTTAAAGGACTCGTTTTCGATACCTGTGATTTAACTTTTATTCCACTCAAGTGTCAACTGCCTCTCGAGGTGGCTCATGTAATTTGCATCCACATCTCGTAAGCACCCTTATATTATTACGAATCTATTAATGCATAATCCCTTCCGGTTGGAGCCCGATGCAATGGAATGCCTCCGTACATTGGCATTGCTAACTCTATTTTGTCAATACTAGAGTAAAAGTGCTTCTGGTTCTTATGTTCTTGAAGGTGGTTTTTGTTTGTGCGCAAAATTCTGATGCAAGGGTGTATAATCAATTAGTTTCGGAAATTTTTATGGTCCTTCTAAATGTTTCTAATAAATGCTTGTTTGGTTGCTTTGCAGAGTCCATCTAAATGCTTCTCCAGCCTTACTTTCTCCTCTGATGAATTGGGTAGCACATCCACAAAGCCTTCATCCTTAAACATTCGCCCTCTGCAGTTATGCCAATATGAAAGGACTATTATCTTTAAAGGGTACAAGGCAAACTAGTCTTCCTTTTGTCCCTCTTAGATTTGCTTCCCAGGGCTCTCTTTACAACAATTCCAATAGAAGTAACATATGGGCAACAATCTTTTCATGCTAAAATATCTTTATGCAATTCTGAGTCAGATCATTAATTTTCAATGCTTCACTAACACTAATAGAGATTTCAAACAAGTTACTTTTGGTCAATACTTTAAAGGATTTGGATGCCAATATCATTCATCAAGACATCGTTACTTTTGGTCAATACTTTAACGGATTTTGATGCCAATATCATTCATCAAGACATCATCTCTTTTTTGAAGTCTTTTGCCTTCATGCAACTCCCTCCCTACTGACTGATTTCTTTTCTTCTCTTAGGGTTTGTTTGGCTCAATGACAGGAAGAGGAGAGGAGGGATTTTAATGGAGGGAAGGGGAGGGGAGGAGAGTGAAAGGATTTTAATATTACCTCATTTGGATTTATAAAAAAGAAAGGGAGGGGAAGAGTTATAATATTACCTTGTTTAGTTCATGAGGAAGGAAAAAATTTTAATACCCTTATTTTAGTTAAGATATAGGCATAATAGTCATTACATAGCAAAATATAGGCATAATGGTTACAACATGACAAAATATTATCCTTTTCCTTCAAATCTTTTCAGTTTTGGAGGGGATGTTGGGAGGAAATTTTTTTTATAATTTCCCTCCCATCCTAAAAGTTGTGTTGCTAAACAAGAGGAAATAATTAAAATCCTTCCCCCTCCCCTCCAAATCCCTCATACCAAACACACCATTAATAATTTTCCTTGTTTATTTTTCTTTTTGGTTTTGCAAATGATATATGACTAAGTTATTTGTTAATATTATTTTAATTATTCATTAAGAAAATGTCTAGGTAAAATTGAATATGCTGTTAGAAAAATTACTTTCCATCCACCAAACACTATTAGTTATTAGAACAAAACATTTTGGTTTTAATTCTATGCAATTGCAATCCGATCTCAAAGAAAATTCACTGACAACTAAAGAGCATGTAATGACAATTTTTAATATATAAAATGATAACTGATTTATATTACTTGCTTGTCATTAGGACTTTTTGACAATTAAGGGCTTGTTTGATTTCTTGTTTTTGTTTTTGTGCTTTCTTATTTTATCTACTACCTATTATTACCAATGACAACTATCGTCTGTCAAAATACAATTTTTTATAGTTTCACATTTAAAAATTATTTCCAAAACTTGTTCTAAAAAACAATTTTATTTTGAAAACAAAAAAAAACAAAAACAAACAGGCCTTAAATTCTTTTTTCAGGACCTCATGGTTATTCTCCCTAAAATCTATAAAATAAATATACACCCTATAAGCTGTTCAGAACAGAGAATCGCGGGATAAATAGAATGTAAAAATAATTTACAAAGTGAGTGCATGCTTCAAAGAGGGTGCAAGATGGCTACTTCATAACATAATACACACAGTCAGCTAGGATTCAAATTTGAACCGATTTGATGGACCAAAAACTGCTGAACTGTATCATAAAATGTATATACTAATTAAATGCTCGTTTTTTCAAAAAATATTTTCAAGGGCCAACATCTATAAATACTAATCCCAATATATTAATTTGTTGATGTCCTTGAAAATATTTTATTTTATTTTTATTTAGAGAAGATACTAACAATCTAGGGTTACAAGTTGTATCAAACCCACAGCCTCCCACTTATCAAAAAGCTTTCATACCATTAAATTGCAAGACCATTAACATCTTAAAAAGAAAACAAAAACAAAAACCTCTTAATTAAACGGATTAAATCTTAGCTCAATTTTGTCCACCTTTCTCAATCCATCACCTCATCATAATTACTCAACAATATCTATACGAACAGCTATAAGAAAAAAAATATTAATTGCTCATCTCACAAGATGACGTATAAATAAGAACATGACAAACTCTCTCGATGACAAAAAAATCCTTTCTGCAGACATCGATTCTGTTTCTCGAGGCATAGATTATGGCATTTGTAACTGAATATGTTCTTTATTGCTTCATTTCTAGCTCAATTACATTAATTAGTCCTGTCCACGCCAGGAAAAGAATGCTAAACATTTTCAGAGCACTTAAAAATTTTCATTCAACTACAAAGCTTACACAGCCAATTTTCTTTCATTTGGCAATTTGTACCTTTTTAGCTCATATCATCGTTGGCTCTACTTACACATCTCTGACCTGAGACTAAAGTTACAAGAAAGCTCAGAGATAAGAAAACCTCTTCCTAGTTTGTTTTGAGATGCAACCTATTGCTACCATCTGGATTGTTGAGGGTTGCACCAGAATTTTTGCACTTGCTCTCAGATCTCAAAATTATGATATATTCATTTTCAAATAACCAACCTGGCTATAAAGGTGCCCTTGCCAAGAAATCATTAACAGCAAGATTGGCATCACCGTGGGCCACAGCATCTTCAGGTTCTGGCATGTACAAGCTAGAAGATGAAGCCTGCAAAACCACGATTATTGGCATCAAAGAAATATCACCCGACTAGAATATGTTCTTAAAGCTCATGTTATATCAACTAGACATGGAGTCCAACACATGCCAATCACTACTCATAACCCACTTATATCACATTGCTTCCCACATCTTTTAATATATAGATTATATGGGATATGGATTTCTCAGGTCAAGTAAACACGAGTTGAAGCATGTGATTTATTTACAGAGTAAGAATTGAGTGGAATGCAACAATTTTTAGTAACAAATTTCCAAATTAATAACTTCTAAACAATTTTTAGTAACAATTTTTAGTAACAAATTTCCAAACAGTGACCGACAAATAAAAAAGTCTGATTAATTCTTAGATTAACGTGAACTGGACGTGGTTTTCCATCGCACAAAATCTAAAGGTGAGTCGCTTTGTTTGCAGTTTATGAATAGTAAAACTTTCTATAAATTTCATTTTATAGATTTAGTCATGAGGTAAGAGACAGCCGTTACTCAATGCCCCCATAAATGCAAAAGCTTCACCAAAGTAAAAAGGCTGTGAGGGATTTGGGTCCCCTCAGTTGAGAGATATTAACCATTAGATTGTGATCTAACAGTGTTCAGGGAAGAGTTACTACTTACCTTGAGATATCATTAGATCACAATCTCAGTTAATGTCCCTTAATTGAGGCTTAGTTGAGGGGATCCAAATCCAAGCCTCTAAATATATTGCTGAGCTGAGGCTAGATTTTAAGCAAAAAGCTCATGTACTGCGGAGGTACTAGGTTTGGTCTGACTCAATTAGCAAACTTTGTAGGGGGCGAAGAGATAGAAGCCAAACATACTTTCGTATCAAGCAGCATTTCTCCATTGTTATCAGAAATAATTATGGCACCATGTACTTTCAACCATTCTACACACTCGTCAAAATCATCTGCATCCTTCTCATAACTTTCCCCATTTGTAGTCATTGAAGTTGAGAATCCAAGAACCTGAGCAACATATGAAACAGGCACAGTAGGACGGTATGCCCGGCACATGCAATTCACAGCTTTGTAACGCATCTTTTCAACACAAAGATCTGTGGAAGGGCAAAGAAAATTTTCAGTCTATTCCTTGTAAGAAAGAAGTTATGAATAAGCTGTGTCAAAAGAGATCAATTACAGGGTACCCACCCATAAGACAGGTGTTCAAGTTAGGAGCTGCTTTGTATAATCTGAAAAATGCAACATAGTTTCCAGAAGTTACAGCTGCCCGGACAGCAAGGGCATGTTTTACAGCCTCGTCCTCTTTTGCTTTGACAGACAATCTGGCATCATCAACATTTGACATTAGAATCCTAGGTCTTCTATCCGCATTGCATGATGTCAAATGAGCATGATCAGTGCCTAAGAACCACAGTTTCAGCCTTGACATCATTATGAATTATTTTTACAGCCTAGGGGGCAAATCCAGCTTCACTAAGGTTACCTTCAGACTAAGTTTTATACTAGATTTGAGTCTCTAAAGGGATAGGTCATAGCAAATTATTAGTAAATACAAAAAATACATCGATGTAATCAAACCAAGGGATGTAACTAACCTTGACATTGATGATAGGAGATCTCTGTTATTATTTGAATGCAATATAACACAAAGCAAGTTGTAAGCAGCAAATTCCATATGAGATCCCTCAATCCCTTCAGCATATAGAATTTTTAGCTGAGATTGGCACTGATATCACACCAAAAACAAAAAAAAAAAACAAAAAAAAGAAAAAAAAAATAAATATGTCAAACTTCGGTATCATGCAGGTAAATATCATCAACAGAATCATTAAATTAAGTTAAAATATTATAGTAAAAAAAAAATATTCTGAAACACCTATCTAATTCCACCAAGCACATTCCATACTATAGTTTCTGACTTTTATTTCAATTAAGCAATCGAAGACAAATATAGGTGTATATAGCTCTATCTAGGCCATTAATTGCAATTTTGGCATGTGAATAAATCATTTAAAATTCCACACAACAGTGAATAAGTAACTCAAAATGATCATGGTCACTGCTTCAAATTTAAAAATTGTCATAATTTATTAAAAAAAATACTACTTTTTGCATCTGTAAAAGCCATTGTCGACCACCTCAGATTTTAAACATATTTTGCAATGACAGTTTTATAGCATTCAGAACAAGCAACCTAATAGCAATCCCCAGGGTGAATATCAACTATCTACGTTCAGATTCGCTCAAATAGAATAGCACATGAATGACTACAATGTTATCTGAAAAATTTGATGGTGGATAAAGTCCAATAGCATGACTTCATTATGAATAATACATACGGATAATAATTGACCATTAAAAGAAATAGCAAAGAAGTCAAGAGAAGACAAAAGGAATTTAGACAAGTTAAATTAGAAACCATCAAGATATAACCTGATTATACTCAGGGAGGTCCCCAACTTCCAGTGCCAATCGGGCATGTGTTTCATACACCTAAGCAACAATTCAGAGAGTAAAAAGGTCAGAAATGTGGAAAATAACATACATCAAGATGAATGGGGGCAAAATAGAAAATAACAACATAACAAATGGAATGCAGAATAACAGCTACAGCTGAAATAGCTCTCTGAAGCAGCTAAGGAAAAATTAAAGGCGCCAACAACAAATCCATCTCTACAGGTTTAGCTAAACAAATATAAAAACACCAATGCAATTGAACCAAAAACAAAAAAGGAAAAAGAAAAAGTTCTCAGAAATAATGCACAAGGTTATAAAACTCAAGAATACCCTGACTGTTAGTTGATTACGTATCCGTTGTACTGTTAGGTCTTGACGGATTGACTTTAGCTGATCACACTTATAAAGGTAATTTTTCTGAGAATTTTGAACCATCAGTAGAGCTTTTTCAAGAACTTCTTCAGGTCTCACCTGCATTTTAACAATTACATAATATTTAGTTACCCAGATGCAGGGAGGGATCAGAAGATCAAGAGGGAAAGGGGTACTTACCGTGGCAGGATCAGGTGCAGATGTAAGGCGTAGGTAACGCTTCTCAATTTCCTGGCAAGTACCCTTCACAGTAAGAGCATCCCAGTCAATGTCCTCAACAGCTTTGTTGCCACCATCTTCAAAGCTTTTGCTTAGCACCAAGGCGCTAGCTCTTCTGTTGTAGAGGTTTCCAACTCCAGCATTTTTGGGTCTTAAGTGACTGTTTTCTGAACGATGCCCTTGTGCTAATTCAAATCGCTTAGAACGATTTTCTCGTCTCTTTCTTTCTTCTGGTGAATCTGCAAGAGCTATAGCACCAGAATAATACACTGCAAGACCTTGCTCGTTATCACTATCACTAGATGCATCACCATTTTCAGAGGGAATAGGAGCTTCAGCAAGACGCTGCTTCTTACACATCCTTTGAGGAGTCCTATTAGAAGTTCTCTGAAATACTGAAGTCCATTTATTATTCCTCAGACCATCCTCCTTGCTCTCCACTACCACCTGCATGTCATGCATCATATAAAGGACTTACTGCACGACTTCTATGAGAGAGACATGTGCTTGTACGAGTTGCCTTAGAAGTATTTACTTATTAAATAAACAATACTAGTGTTCTTCGAAACAAAGATAGGATCATACTATCAGCAAGTAGATACGCGCACACTAACAAACCTATGTAAGCTTGTATGAGTTTTGGGAACATCAAAATGACAAATGCCATGCTATCCATCAAAGGAACTTATTTAATAGAACTAAAATTATGTTTTTTAATAAACAAAGTAAGCTGAATAATCAAATTGTAGCAAAAAGAGAAAGGTAAAGCTTCAGTTCAGGATATAAATAAAATCAACCCTTAGTTTAAGCTTCTATACTCAAAGCCCCTATCACCAAGTGATCAGGAGTTTGATCATACCACACTAATTCACATAATTTAATTAAATATAAATAAAAGGTCAGTACGGAGACCCATACTTTGAGACCGTAAGAAAAAAAAGGGTTGAAAAAAATGGATACTCAGATTGTAAGAAAAGAAAGGTTGGGGAAAATAAAAAAGGCTGTGGTCTAATACAGAAAGCACAATAATGAACACCGCATAAAAGACATTATGAGATGCTAAAGCAATTAACACAAGAAAGGTTGGGGAAAATGAAAAAGGCTGTGGTCTAATACAGAAAGCACAATAATAAACACCACATAAAAGACATTATGAGATGCTAAAGCAATTAACACAACACAGGCTGATGACAGTTTAAGTCCTGCAGAAGAACTATAATATCATAGATCTAAATGATAAGGCGCACATACCAATTAAAAAAAAAAAATCTTCAGCAAGAACCTTCAAGTCCATAAACTACTCATAAAAGCCTACACTTACCTTTCTTTCCTTTTCATTATGAGCCCAATTGCTGTATTTTTCAGCATGATTACTGTTTGGCACCAGATTGTCAGCAGGCTTCTCCTCTGGTAATGGCTCCCACCTGCTTTTAGATCTTCTATTTGGACTTCTTTTATACTTCGGCATTAAGGAATCATTTGTGGAGCACTCTGAACTACTGTATGAGTAGAAGACAAATAATACTATCAATTGCAAAGAAATGACCGAGCCTAAGGGAGTTTGGAAGTAAGAGAAAACGCAAAACTAAGGACAAGCTGATGGCAATTTCCTTCTTCCTAGTTCAATTTTTTAAGATTAACAAGAAAAAGGATATCGCAGGTAGATTATCTTTACAAATTTACAAATTTATCCACGTTAAAATTCTAGGAAAAAAGAATAAATGATGTAAATATAATAATGAAAATAATTAGCTAATGATCCAAACCCTCACACTAAAGAATGCAGAAACATTAGCTTATATATGCATATAACCCTCAATAACGAGTCACCGTAACTAGAAGCACCAGATGTGCACTAATAACTACATTTGATTGACATCACACTTTGCAAAATAGATCAACAGGGGAAAAATCATACTCTTTATTGATCGCATCTGAATCAGGAATTGGAAATAGTGGCTCAATTTCCCAATTTTTTGTGTACAGGGTACCATCAGCAGTTGCCTTGGTGATAATCTGCAATAAGAATGACAAATCTAATAAGATTATTGAGCCAAAGTGCAAACATAAACAATCTTCCAAATGAGTTTGTACATTACGCTAATAAAGGTCAAAGTGAAAACAAACTAGAAGTAAACATCCACCCAAAAAACTATAATCATAGTGGGATTAGGCTATATTTTGATTTTATTTGGGCTTAAGATTTTAAAAATGTTATTTCTTGGCAGCACCACAGGTTTGGTTTCAGAAAAAAGATTTCACTCGCTTAAAGCTTCATCACTTTTGTATCCTTTGATTTGATGATATTAATAACATTCTAGTAATTAACAAGGTAGTAAAAACTGGACTAGTCACTGAACCAGTCGAGACAGTGGTTCAAGGGTTAATAGGTCAAATCAGGGTCAACTCAGAGGCAGACCAGTAATAATTAATATATTATAATTTAATTAAAACACATAAAAATATTTATATTTTAATTTTGAAAACATAGTATTCAGTCTTTAAATAAATGTATAAATTACAAAACATTTATATTAAGAACTTTCTTCTCCATTATTTTTTTTAATTTCTTCTCCTACCCATCACCCGTACATTCCTCTTGCTCTTTGACTTTTCTCCTAGTTATTCTCCCTCTTTCACGTGATCACTTGCCTCTCTCCTCTCCTCACGCATCACAAGTCTCAATAGTTAGTATGGTCTTTTCATTTACACTTGCCACGCTTCACCATTCAGAGCGAAAGGCAGCTTTCTTCTACATTTTGTTCTCTCTTTCTTCACCGGCGTCCATGGGTTTTCCGCACAAATCTAGTAAGTTCTTTATAAAGCATGATGGCAACAGTCTAATAAGTTGCAGGGAGATCTTGCCATTGAGAAGAACGACGGTGAGGAAACGGTCACAACGGCAACCAAGTTCAACTTTCAGAGCAGAATCCGGCGATGCTCTAGTCTATCTTTGTTTTTTTTTTTTTTTTTTAAGTTTCTGAGCATGGGAAGCTTTGGGAAAAGAAAAAACCCGACTAACCCACCCAGACCCATGAGTTGCCAGGGTTAATCCCGATTACTCCGAGTTAAACCGAGTCATGCCGGTTCATAGTGATCTCGGTTTTGTTAACCAACCAAACCGGACAAGTGACCGGTTCACCAGTTTCTAGTTTGAACCGACCGGTCCGGTCCGGTTTTTCATACCATGGTAATTAATTAATAAGAGTTCAATTAAAATTTATCCTTCATCCACCTATCCTCTTTGTTCCTTCTCAAGCATGTATCAGCACATTTCTCTAGTTATTTTCACAACTCTCCAATGCATCAGCTCTCGATCTCAACATTTTATCCTCCTGGCTCTTTTCACTCCCTCTCCCTATCATCATCATTCAACACTACTCTCCCACCTGTTCTCTCTTCCCACTCCTTTCTAAAGTTTAAACTGAATCTGCAACTTTTCCAAAGAATATGAAATAATATCAAAGTAGCTGGAGTAGCTACCTTCAGTGTTATTATAATCGTGCGATTCGGGATACAAATCTCACGATTCATTACAGAAAATACACTGGGAGATACGAATCTCCCAATGTATCTTAAGGGAGTCTGAATCGAGCCCTGAATGCGATTCACAACGGAATCACGTGAATCACACGACGCCGGTGAATCGCGCGATTCTGGGCAGTGTTGGGTGGCGCAGATCCGACCCGGACCTATGCGCGACTCGACACAATGAAACCGTCGTTTTATATATATATATATATATATATATTGAATTTTTGCTTTTTTTCCGGTTATATAATGAAGGAAATGACCCAACCCTATTTTTTTATTTCCCTGCTCTTCTTTTCACGTTTTACTCTCTATCTTGTGCCCCACGCTTCTTTTCTTCTCTTCTATCGGTTCCTGGCTGAAATTTAGTTTGCATATTGAAGTCTCGAGTCTCCTCTTTTGCTGGTTCTTTCTCTTCTCTTCTATTATGTGGTATTTTTTTCCTTTATTTTTTTTACTGGATATTATATTGGTGGGAAAAATGAGTCAGAATCAGAATAAGATGAAAAAAGAAGCTGACATTACATGGAAACATTGTGAAAGTGTTCCTCCCCATAGACTTATGGTTAAATGCAAATACTGTTCACATCAATGTTGGGGTGGGGTAGCCAGGATGAAACATCATTTGGTAGGAACCAGAGAAAATGTGAGTCTATGTACAAGTGCTCCCGATGAAGTTAAAAAGTTGTTTGTTAAAATGCTAGAAAATAAAGAAAAAAATAAAGATGCTATTAGTGTTGGAATATTTGAAGAAGCAACTGCTCAAGATGCTAAGGGGAAGGAAGACATCAAAAACTATCAAACAAAAAACAATGAACGAGATGGTAAAAGATAGAGATCTAGTAATTCAAGATATTTGTAAATGCATCTATGGTAATGCTTTACCATTCAATTTGGTAAGAAGTCCACTGTTTATTCAAATGTTAAAATTTGTTGGTGAATATGGTAGGGGTTTGAAACCTCCAAGTTATCATGAGATGAGAGTTTCTCATTTGAAAAAAGCTGTTGATAAAATTCAAGAAAGTTTAGTGAAGTATAAGAGGGATTGGGAGAAATGGGGTTGTACTTTGATGTGTGATGGTTGGACCGATGGTAAAAGGAGGTCTCTTGCTAATTTTTTAGTCAATAGTCCTAGTGGGACAGTCTTCCTAAAGTCAGTGGACACAAGGAGTGTGATTAAAGATGCTAAACAAATGTTTGAATTACTAGACAATATGGTTGAGGAAATTGGAGAGGATAATGTGGTGCAAGTTGTGACAGATGGTGCCTCAAATCTTGTGGCAGCAGGGAAGATGTTAGAAGAGAAGAGAAAAAAATTATTTTGGTCTCCTTGTGCAGCTCACTGCCTTGATTTAGTCCTTGAAGACATTGGGCAACTTCCGGTATTTTATAACACCATCACCAATGCAAAGAAAATAACAACATTCATTTATAGGCATACATGGGTCCTAAACTTGTATAGAAAATATTCCAAGGGAAGAGAATTAGCTAGACCGGCAGTGACAAGATTTGCAACAGCTTATCTTACACTAAGTTGCATATTCCGGCAAAAGAATGCTCTTCGAACCATGTTTGCTTCAAATGATTGGGTTTCTAGTTCTTTTGCTAGTAAAAGTGAGGGTAAGCAAGTGGCGGGCATGATTTTTGGGGATTCTAGATTTTGGAGTTCCATCAAATATTGCTTAAAGTGTGAGTCCACTTGTAAAAGTTTTGAGACTTGTAGATGGTGACTCTAAACCTGCTACGCCATGTATTTATGAAGCAATGGATAGGGCCAAAGAAGAGATTACTGACAATTTTGAAAAGAAGTAATCAAGGTATAAAAAGATATGGAAGATTATTGATACTCGTTGGAATTTGCAACTACATAGACCCCTCCCTGCGGCTGCCTACTTTCTTAATCCTAAGTAAGTTTTATACAATTTAAAGTTTAAAATTTAAATATTTATTATTTAATTGTATGCTAGAAAAAGATAACTTATTCATTATTTTTTTAGGTTCTATTATGATGAAAAATTTAACACGGATCAAGAAGTTTATTTTGGTTTATATGAAACTATTGAGAGAATGAATCCAGATAGAAAGACAAGATTTTTAGTTGATCAACAACTCGAGGCATTCAAATCTGCTAAGGAACTTTTCGGAAGGAGCATGGCAATAGATACTAGAAACAAAAAGCAACCTGGTATTATTCTCTAGTCTATACTATTTATAAGAATTTAATTTTTTAACCTTAATAATAAATCTGAATTTTGAAAAACATTCCTAATTATTTATTTTTTTTTTTTAGCTCTTTGGTGGGAAAGTTATGGAGGAGAAGGTAAGGAGTTACAAAAGATAGCTATGAGAATTTTAAGTCTCACATGTAGTGCTACTGGATGTGAAAGAAATTGAAGCACATTTGATCAAATCCATACTAAGCGAAGGAATCGCTTAGAACAACAAAGGTTGAATGCACTTGTATTTGTCAAGTATAACCTTCAACTTGAGATGAGACAGAAGATTAGAGAGGAAAAGGGAGAGACATATGATCCCATTTGTTTATCAGATATTGAATCTGATGATGAGTGGATCACTGAAAAAGAAAACCCGTACTTCCCAGTAGATGGGTCATGGATGGACATACATGAGAGTTTCACTCTTGATGAAGGAGCTCCAAGCAAGAAAAGAAAGAGGTATAATATTTTAAAACTAAATTTAAGTTGATTTTAGTTTAAATATATATCATCATACTTATTAAGTTTTCTTTTTCCCCTTGGGTCCAAGAAATTTGAATGCCAAAACCAATAGCAAGGGGAAATCTATAGTAGAACAAGAGAATGAGAATGAAGATAATGTTGAAGATGGGGAAGAAGAGGATGATGAAGAAGTGACATTGTTAATGGAGGATGATCATGAATTGAGTGACACTGATCTTGGAGATGACGAATGATGGATTGAATTTTATGTTTACTGACTTTAGTCTTTTTAAGTTAGGAGTTTGAATTTTGAATGGATTTTGGGGACTATTTATCTTTAAAATTTCATCTATTGGTTATTTCATTTTTTTTGGGCAGTGTATAGCACCTAATATTTACAAACTTTTAATATTTTTTTATGTGAAAATTACTTATACATTATCCTTAATAATTGTTCATGAATCTTATGATTCACGATATGGTACGATTCAAGATTCATAAAACCAGCTTTCCGATACACGATTCATATCCCGATTTGATAACCATGGCGACCTTGTCCAATATATGACATATTCAGTTGAATAATATCAAGGTTGAATTAAACTTCCGGCTTTCTCCAAGCTTCAATATCAGCATAGTGCAATATATAGAAGGTAAGGGGCAAAACAAAACTACTTTTACCCCTTTGTTTGAGAGGGGAGGGGGGTATGCAAAGAATTCAACTTTTTCTTGTTCCAAATAAAACTTACTTCCTTCATCACGGTCTGACATGCAGCCATTTGCTTATCATCTTTACATCGAGCCAAAGCTCTTTCAACATAGCCCCGCAAAGACTTGGGGAACATACCAGGCTGCACAGGAAAATATTTTAAGCTATTAATCAAATGATAGAATCACAGCCATCTTGCTTACAGCGCCAACATGATTTATCATATTCTTAATCGACTACTGAGAATAGAATGCTTCCAATACAAAATTTGGCTCTTAACTCCAACACTAGGCATATGATTACTAAGCCTTTGCATGAAATGGTTCCAAAAATAGATTCCCATGTCAACTAAGACTAGCTCTCGAATTTTCAATTAAGATGGCATTTAGCAAGCATATTGACATGATAATTGATCCACAAGTAGCTTCTCTAAATTCAAAAGCTTAACTTTCTAACTAGTCCTAGGCTTCTAGCAAAATGTTCGAGCATTTCTACGTACCTCCGTTCTTTCAGTGTAATAGGATTAAGTTAAATCAGATATATAAATAGATAGGTAAATGGCAATTGAAGCATATTTAACATCAATACAGTCAGTATCATTGGTTTGACAAATCTCACCTTAAGTATAGAATTGACAGCATCATTAGAGGGTACTTTGTCAGGTTGCTTTGGCAGTGAAACACTTATATAAGCAGGTTTGGGTGCTGCACTATTCAAAGTACTATCATTCTCAGCTTTGGGCAATCCTAAAGTCAAATTTGAAGCAATCCGAGGGTTTGTTGGAATCTGCAATTTGTTTACCCTTCTTGCATCCATAGATGGAGCAGCTTGTATGGGAGTTGAAGGCATCTGTTGAGGAGAAGGAAATTGTAAATCGGCTCCTTGAGAAGACGCAGTCTTCTGTTGATCCTGAAATTTATCATAAGAAGATTTTAAATCCAAAGGAGTTTGATAGTTTGGTTGTATAGTATTATTGTGGTGAATTTGAGAACTTTGAGCCCCATGTTTCCAGTAACCATCATGAGCACCATAAGTTACTGCACCAGGCTGACCACACAAGAAAAAAGAGTCAGTAAGTTAACCAAGGAAAAACTCCACCTCAACAAAATCATATGAAAATTTCCTAGAGCATCAAAGCCAAACAAGTCTAGTAATGTCGCACAATTATTTGTGCACTGTCATATCTCAGTCCCAGTAGTTGTCATATTTTAATATCAACTCTGTAAGGCATGCATAACATATAGCAATCAACTATAATACGATTTATCATATAAATATTATTAACAACAAATTCTCTGTAATGTTTAACTTTTGTCAGTAATTTAAATTCGCTATTATTAATTAATAGAATCTATTTTATGACTCTGTAAGGATTCTCCAAACCTGCAAAGAAGGCATGGTAGAGGAGTTAGATTCTGGCCTCCAATATGGAGCAGCATATGACTGCAGAGGCTGGCTATTAGGAGTTACATAGCCACTAGTAGTTGCAGGAATAGGACAACCTAAAGTAGATGAACTAGTGACAGATAAGTTCTCTGTCCCTGGTGCACAACTGACTTCTGTTTGGCTGTAATAGTCTGCCCACTGTTTGTATTGTTGCTGATACTGCAGTGATGTAGTTGCAGTACCAGAACTATAAGCAACTGTAGAATCTGGGGCGTAATTTGTATAAGGATGGGATGAATAATTCGGATAATTGCCATTATTCCACAGTGTCGTCTGATTTCCATAGTTGCTGTTTTGGTATCCACCAGGAGTCTGATAATCACCAGGATTGTAGTAAGTGCTTGAATAGCTTGCAGATCCAGCATAAGACCCAGTATTCTGAAAGGAGGAAAGAGGCTGATAAGGAGCACCTGTGTTTTGATATGCTCCTAAAGGCTGTGAGTAGGTATGATTAGGTTGCTGCTGATAGTTGTTATAGTAGCTTGCGTATCCCATGCTGCCATAACCATATGGATTAGAAGAACTTGGGTATGATGTGTATGCATTGTAATCTTGTGGTACATTAGCTGTTCCCAAATTTGATGAATTACCAGCAACTGATGATGCATTTTGACCATCTTGAATGCTTCTTCCAGGTGGCTGTGTTTGCTGATCATATTGGTAGGTGGGGTTCGAATAAACTCCATTTTCTGTGGAGCTATGAACAGTCCAAGATACAGCTTCAGGCCCAGTTGTTGAGGGGACATATGAAGAGGACTGCTGCTGGTTTGCTTCAATGTGTCGATTCTATTGAGAAAAAATGTGGGAGCAATAATTAGCATCAACAACATGAAGAACGCCAGCATCAAGAATAATACATCACAACCAAGAAGAACCTAAGAAATTTAATTGTACAACTGATGCAAAGATGCGAAAGCATTACAGGCCAAATAGCGTCAAAGAACAAAAAAGGGTATGAAAAGAGACAATAAGACAAATCAACAAAGGTATTTAGTCAACAAGTTTTCACAGTTATAACAGAAGTTGCAGTAATTGCAAACATTATATTGTGATCCAGTGATAGGTAATTACTCCTCTACGGATGACAAAATGACATGAATGCCCATAAATCCATTTTAGTTAAGATGTGAGGGCTAGCGGAAATTGTGGAGGTTAGCATTCCCCGTGTATGCATCATGCTCAAATCAAAATGTTTTAAAAATTTGTTTATAATGACAAGTCCTTCCAAAACAAAAGAGACAAAAAGTCACAGATTCATTAGCTATAAAAAGCTCTAAAATGCCTTTCTAAAATCCACAAAGGAAACCTCCTAGAATAACCAATAGCCGAAGCCCACAGAGGACAAGAAAATAATACCCCAAATTAGGTGCATAGGAAGAAATTTCTGATTCACCTTCCATTCTAACTAAAACAGCTTCCATATGATCATATCCCAGTGTAAATCCACAATTACCCCCAGCTCCCCCCCCCCCCCAAAAAAAAAAAACCCCACACATACGCACACAAGAAGGGGGAAAAAAAATTAAGAAAAATGGTTTAAACCAATAGTTGAAACCCAAAAAAAGGCCCATAAAACAACTCCCCCAAACTCAGAAGTGCGGTGAGAAACTTCTGATTAAACATTCTCACATTCTAATTTTAACCAAAACAGCTTTCCAATCCCATTGTAAATCCACAACAGAAATTCCCCCAAAAAATTTTTTTATTATACTAATGGTTGAAACCCATAGAGAGACCAAGAAAATAGTTCTCTGCCAAATCAGATGTGTATGAAACTTCTGATTGAACACTTGAGTTCTAGCGGGCCAAAGCTGCCACAAACCAGCCAGAACAGCACACTGTGAAAGAATTTTACGCGCCTTGTTTCCAACAAAACAAGTGTACTTAACGGTTAACAAACCCTCCAGCTTAGCTTGACACACCAATCCTCATGATCAATACCAAACCTATTACAAATTTCCTAAGCTGCTTTGCAATGCAATAACAAATTATTATCAGTTACTGAACCCCAAAAACTTCCCATAAACATGGCAGGAATATAGCTGTATTAGGCCTTCAAATTTCAAGCACATCATTTGTATACCTTCAAGGAAACCTTGAATCTCAACGCAAATTTATTTAAAAAAAAAAAAAAAGGAAGGAGGGAAGAAAATGTGCTGACATGGGGATCAAAACCATTACAGCATGGTTCAGAACCTTATGCTTAATAGATTAAAAATTAAAAATGTATATAAGAGTAACCAATTGACGCCTGTGTCGATCAAAATTAGTCTTAAACCTCTCTTAACTTTTCATAAGATGAATTTTTACAAAATAAACCGCTGAATTAATTAATTCTTGTCACAAAAAGTACCATAAAATTTGACACTAGTGTGAAATTGTATTGTGCCCTATTGCTTAATATTAAAATAAAGTACAATATAAATGTGAGCATGTTTGTGTATAAATCAACTGCAAGAAATTAATAATTATTTTGACTGGATACTTGTGGTTATTCAGTTTCCATACAATTTCATAACGATGACCAGCATAGTAATTACTTCTAATCCAATAGTTGGATCATGAAAACCAAATCCAACAGTAAAATATTCAAAGATATAAAATATGTCAAATCTTAAGTTAGTTTATGTTGACGCTACTTGGGCCTTGGGCCTTCCTTATTTAGCAGCATTTAATCAGATTTAATTTCCTACCAATCTCCTAGGATAATGGCAGATCTGATTTCGTTTTTGAATTTTGAATTTGCTAATTTTCCTGATTCTCCTCTGATTATGTAACTATGGACTGATCCTAAAATCTTCTAATAACCAAGAATTATTCCTATAAGTATTGTACAATGTCATTCGAATAAAACAATCTTTTCTGGCATCAAAACATTCATGGTATCAGAGCAATAATGATCCGGTTCGGCTTTGTGCTAGACGGGGAAGGCCAGGGGGGTTCAACCTCATCAACACACAACACCATGTCATTGATGAACCCAACTGTGAACCACCAAGTGCCAAATGATGCCAACATGTCTCAAATCACTATCCATCGTTTGAATGGACAAAATTACCTCCAATGGGAGGCCAGCGGCAGAAAAGGGAAATTTGGATATCTAAATGGAGCAACAAGAAAACCAGACCCCAAAAATGCAAAGTGCAGCATGACTCGATGATACAATCATGGCTGGTCAACTCAATGACCACAAAGATCAGTGTGAGTTTTACCTTGTTCAAATCTACTCGGGAAGGATGGGAGGCAGCTCATAACTAGACTAACTCAAACAAGGTCCCTTTAATATTACTAAGTATTGGACTACTCTAGTTGCTTTGCGGCAGCAACTAGATCAATACGACACCCATGCGTGGTCGTGCACAGCTGATGCTCATTTATATGCCAAGATCAAAGGAGAGAAAAGGATATATAAATTTCTTTTTGGACTGCAACCTTCCTATGATGAAATTTGAGGTAAAATCACGAACCAGGAAAAACTACCAAGCCTTCATGAAGTGTTTTTCATGGTAAAACAAGAAGAAAGTCAAAAGAAGCTCAATGCTCCAAGATAATCAAGTGGAGCAAAACCTGAAGCAAATGCCTTAATGGCTAAGGGCAAGAAGAATGGCAAATGGTGTGACCATTGCCAAAAATCAGGACATACTCAAGATGTGCGCTAGAAGCTACATGGAAAACCACCCAACCAAAAGGGAAAAGGCAAACCTGAGGCAAGAGCCCAAGCAACTGCGAACACAGATTCAAAAGAAGATCTTGGTAGCAACCTAAAGAAGGAGGAACTAGAATTCCTTTGAAGATTACTAGAGAAACATCACACCAAAAAGAAGCTAATAACTACGAGTAATGTAGCTTACACAGGTAATGCAGTCCTGGCCCTTAATATCGAGGTTCATCATAATCAAATATGAATAGTTGATTCTAAAGCCACTAGTCACATGACCGGTAACACTAATCTTCTTCAAAATGTTAAAGCATGTGAAACGATTATGTTCATAAAGTGGCTGATAGAAAATGCATTAGTTCATGGAATTGGTGAAGTTTGCATGTTTGGTGATATGAGACTTAAAAATGTTTTATATGCTCCTAATCTAAAGTGCAACCTGATTTCTGTGAGTAAAGCTACTCTGTCCCAATGCTGTAACATCAACTTTTCTACTGCTTTATGCTTATTTCATGACATGGAGTCAAGGAAGAGGATTGGCACAGCTAGGTCACTAGAGGGGCTTTATTGTGTGGATCATCATCAAAGCAAAGAGACTCAAGGTGTGACTTTTGCTGCAGGAAGGAACTCCATCAAGCAACTCTTGAATAAAGGAGCTGCATTATGGCATTATAGGTTAGGCCATCCAAGTCCTAATTATATGTCTAGAATGTTCCCCAATTCTATGAATAAAAATAACTTTTCTATTCCTTGTGAAGTATGCCAACTGTCCAAACATACGAAAAGCAATTACAAAGCCCATCCTCATACATTTTCTCACCTTTTTTACTTGTGCATAGTGACATTGGGGGGCCAACCCGCTTTTCAACCTTAACAAATGCAAAATGGTGACACTAAATGATGATCACACACAAGTCACTTGGGTGTTTCTCATAAAAGAAAAATCAAACCTTACTCAAACTATCATGAACTTCCACAAAATGATTATGAATCAATTTGACACATTAATAAAGTTCTGCGCAACGATAATGGGAGGGAACATATGAACTCAAATCTTCAAGTCTACCTCAAACAACATGGGATTATACACCAAACAAGCTGTGTAAACACATCCCAAGGGATAGCTAAAAGAAAAAATCGCCACCTTCTTGAATTGACCCGAGCCATTATGACAACCAATAATGTGGCTAAATTTTACTAGGGAGAAGCACTCTTGACAACCACACATCTCATAAGTCGCCTACCATCCAAAACACTCAACTTTCACACTCCAATACAAGTTCTATCTAAAAACTACCCAAACTCACACCTACTCAGATTCCCAAAAAGGTGTTAGGATGCATAGCATATGTCCATAATGACCATGGCAGCAAACTTGACCTTCGTGCCATTAATTGCATATTCCTTAGCTATTCCTCTAGCCAAAAGGGGTACAAATGCTACTCTCCCAGCTTCGAAAAGTTCTCTGTCACAATGAATGTTACCTTTGAAGCAACTCAACCCTACTACACCAAAACACCCATTTAGGGGAAGAGTGAACGGGAATGGGAATTTTTGCTTCTTGAAAATGAACTTCAACCTGCTCCAAACTTGACCACACCTACACCTGAATCCCAAACTACCATAAATCTACCTCAAGCCGAGCCTCTCCAACCTATTCTAGTAAATCTAGGCCTGAATTCAAACCCGGACAGAACTGAACAAGAGCCTGGTAATGCCATAAATGAGGAATCTGGTACCATGGACCCTAATGATCCAGAATCCGCAGAATCTAAAGGTGAAGAAGCCATTCCAAAATCTGCAGAATCTGAAGGTGAAGAAGCCTGAAGCTGAGACAAAGCAACACAATGAAGTGTCCTCTAGTCCTGAGCAACGCCAAGACTCAACTTCAACTCCTACTCCTAATGATCTTGGGTGGCCTATTGCCTTGAGAAAAAGGGTAAAATCCCGTACTAGACATCTTATCAGTAACTTTGTTTCATATGACCAATTGTCATCCTCCATGCATAGCTTTGTTACAAGGTTAGCAAGTGGACACATATCGGCTGCTTACTAAGAAGCCATAAGGGATCCGAATTGGAGAGGGGCCATAGAAGAAGAATTGAGGGCTCTAAATAAAAACCAAACC